ACGCGCTGTGTTTGAGCGGGGACGCAGCCGTGCGGCGGGCGTCTCGCCGAGAGCCGCGTGCGTTGCTCACAGAGCCTCCAGGCACAGCTTGGTTTCGGCAGGCGGCTCTGAAGAAGAGGGCAGGAGGCCAAAAGTCAGAAGTCAGAGGTCCCTTGTTGTCTGCAGACACCCTGCAGCTGCAGACGACCCCGGCGAGGCTGCCGCTGCCTGCTCGGCTCTGGTTTTGCCAGGGTTTCCTGTAGTGGGAGGGCACTGACTTTTCTCTCTCCCACCAAAGCCAGCTGCGGCAGAGCACCCCTGCCGTATGCAACCCCCAGGAGCAGGGAGATCCTGGGCGGTCCAGCATCTGCCTCTGAACGGAGCGACTGTAAACCTGATGGAGAACCAGCATCCTTCCTTCCCGGCTTCCCAGACAGTTCTGCGCCGTCAGGGCGAGCACGCTCCGAGAAGGGTCTGTCCCGGCCAGGTTTGGCAGCAGCATTGCTCCTCCGGCGAGTACCGGAGGGATGAGCTGCTGTCACCTCTGCCCGGGGTCTGTTGGGGGGTGACACCCCTCTGTCTGGGCCACCTTAATGCCATTCACAAGGTTTTTGGGTGGCGTCGTTCAGGCTCACTCACTAAATGGCTGTTTTGATGCCCTTACTGGCGCCTGGGCATTGCAGGTGATGTAGAAACAGAAGGGAAGCAGTCCCTGGCCCCGCGTGCATCGCTGCTGGCTTGGCCGGCCCGGCGTCTCACCCAGGTTTAAGCTGCCTGCGGGCAGCGTGCAAGGGTTAATTGCTCTCTCTCGGTCTCTTGGCCACTCTCTGTTTTGCCTGAAACTGTCCTGGTCCCTGGGGAGCGTGGTGTGTTTTGATGTGGTCGTGGGTCGGTCTCAGCTTGAATCCGGCAGCAGTCTGGCCGTGAGTGCTTGCAAAATGCCTCAGTGCGTGATCCGTGCCTCTTGCCTGACGCCGAGTGCGCTTTGCGTGGCAGGTGAGTTAGATGTAAACAAAATGGGTGCTCAGACATGTTCCTCCTCCTTGTCCCGAAGGTGACATGTGAAGGCAGCGCCCGGCACGGGGAGCGGCAGCAGCTGAGATGCATTCAAGCCACGCCAATGACCCCAAGGAAGCCATACAGGTGAGCAAGATGCCCTGAACCTCCCCAAATAGCTCCAGTTACTCCCCAGTGCAACTCCAGTTGCCGGCGGGGACGTGGTAGGACTTGTCGGTGCTGCCAGCTGGGATTGGGATGGTTTATACGGGCAAAGGGTGGCTCGCGCTTTCCGGCAGAGAGGATCCTCGATGGTTTGGCTGGTGTGGGGCGGGTTAAAGCAAATCAAACGCTCTGAGCAACCTGATCTAGTTGAAGATGTCCCTGCCCTTGGTGGGGGGTTGGACTAGATGACCTGTAGAGGTCCCTTCCAACCCAAACTATTCTATGATTCTATGAAATAGGGTAGCCATGAGTTAAATGACACCAGAAGACTGTACCTTGGGCTTTGCCCCTCGTGGCAAGACCCAGCGTGGGGCGGGGGAAGGTGCTCAGCCCTGATACCTGGGTGAAGGAGCATTGCTGCTCTGTGTATTTAGGGTTTCTTTACCCAGCTTTGGGAGTCTAAACACGTTTAACGAGCAAAGTTCAAACCCAGTGGTTAAAACTGGGTGTTTAATTCATCCCACAGCAGAATTAATTCATGGATGACAGATAAAATCATTTGCACTCTTTAATCCTGTTAGCCCACGGTTGCTGCTTGCAGGTGGGTTGCTTGTGCTAGCAGATCTGCGGGGCAGCTGGAATGCAGCTCCTGCTGCAAGAGGCACCCCCTGCTACGGGCAGGGAGAAGGTCCCTGTTCCCCCAGCTGTTGTCCTTGAACTATAGCTGCTGGAAATCTTATTTAGATGCTGAAAAAAAAATATCCTGGGCTGGAAATTAAATACGGGTTTGTGCGGCCGACCCAGGCTCGAGTCAAAATCTGCCCCGCCCCAGTCGCAGCCGGCTGGTGCCATTCAGCGTTCGCCTTGAATGCTGCGTGATTGATGCCGAAATGTGAATTGTTTGATGGGGTCCTGGCTGAATTTGCAGTGTTTGCCAGATGCCTGCTGGGAAGTGCAACTTTCATTTTAAATAAGGTTGATTGAGACATCCGGGCTCAGCTGCGTTAGAAAAAAAATCCTCTCCACCAGCGTAGAATTGTTAAATTCACTGAACTTGCTTCTTTTCAACTGGTATGAGAAGGAGGGAATCAAAGCTGCTGGAAGGTAAAATTCCCGTGTTCCTGCTTCGAAGCCCACCGAGGCTCTCCGAAGGCAGCAGCTAAACCCCAGCCGTCCTTCCAAAAGCATCATTTCTGGGGGGGGCCGTCCCCGGCAGTGCCCGTGGGCTAATCGACACAGATGAGCTGCTGAGAGCGAAATCGATGGCTTTGATTTCCACTGGCGGGACTCGTTGGCGCGTCACATTCTGCTTGGGCTGATCTGCAGGAGTTCAAGTGGTATCGCAGCCCGTGTTACGGGTTACCTCCTTCGAGTTTCTCGTTTATCACCCATGCTTAGTTAATCCCTGTGTTTCCTCTGAGCAAGCGCCTGGAAAGAGCTGATTTCTTTTTTTTCCCCATCCCCTTAAGCAATTCGGTGTCTGCAGAGGAAGCACCGCACACTCTAAAGGCAACCCCAGCACCCCGGTGGGTCCAAAACACTGGCTAAAATTGCATAAATTACTCATTTAAAAAAACAAAAACAACAGATGAACCGTGATGCCAAGAGCGTGAGTCCCCAGCTTGACCAGTTCAGCTGTCAACAGCCCAACAGCCGCCGCAAAGCACGTGGATGAAGCAGGAGTCGCATGGTGCTTCGCTCTGCACGAGCCTTGCAGTTTTTGAGCCCTTTTATATGAAATCTTTCCTCATACTTATCTTTTTACTATGCAAGCATGTACTCCCTGTCTTGCAGCTGATCAAAAAGCAACTGGTGAATGCCATCAAGGCGTTGCAGAAGCAGTACGTGACCTCGGATGCCGTCGTAACCAGCGACGATGGGAACGCGAACACCCTCTGCAGCGCCCTGGAAGCTGTCTTTGTGCACGGGCTGAAGGCGAAGCATATAAAGGCAGAGAGTGGGGGGAAAGGGAAGAAAGCAGGGGGTCGGGGACCGCTTCCCCAGCCGGTCTTCTGGGGTCTGCTGAAGAGCATCACCCATCGGTGAGTGCCCGTCCCTGCCGAAAGGTGTTTTATACGCTCAGGTTTATCCCCTCTCTTTGGTGCCAAAGCCACAAAATTCGGGGAATGGTGAACAGGAGGATGGCTCAATGGAAACATACGTCTCTACCCCATCCCATGTGCTCAGTCCCTTCAGTGGGAGGGAGAGATGCTCTCGCAGAGTATCTCGGGGGGCCGGGGCTGCCTGGGACCGCTGGGAGATGCAGGTAGGAGAGCAAAGCCCCCGCGATGCCAAGCGATGCAGGGCTGGGCACCCAGTGCTGTCAGCACGGCCCCTCTCAGCGTGTGCAAGGGCTAAAGGGCCATTTAGGCGTGAGTCCATGTCCCCAAACGGTTAAGGAATGAAACGCTGCTGCCAGCTTAGGGCACACCCCTTTTTTGGGTGCCAGGCTGTATATGGGAACTCCATGTCCCCGGTGGGACCCCGCTGACCGCACTGGCATACGGCAGCGGTGGGTTACGGGATGCACGGCGCCGGGGTCTGGTCTCTCTTCTGACCTGGACCTGCTTGGGATGCTTGGCCTCCATTTCCCCGTGTCCCAAGCAGGATGGACATCGCTGACCTGCTGTGTGAGCTCTGGGGAGGTCTCACCTGGGTAACTATCGTGATTTGCTGGGTTTTTTTCTGAGCCGCTCCCTAAGCAGAGTCCTCTCACACGACATAAGAGCCCACACGCAAATAGTTTTGAAAGCCTTATCCAACTCCATCACCGACTCTTAAATTATGAAAGAGCACATGAAAATAACTCTTTCACATGCTGCAGGGGATATTTTTGTGCCCTTTGAAGGATTTTTCTTCTTTCTTGAGAGACAGAGTGAAAAAAAAAAAAACCTTACAAAACTTTTTCTCTGTTTTTGTGGCATCTGCAGCGCCGATGTGAGCTGGGGCCGGGGAGGATTAGGGAGTGCGGTGTCGCACCCCGTGATGGACCGAAAACGGGGCCGCTCACATCCTTTTCTGTACTTTCTCTCCCCTTCCCCAGAAATATTGTCTCAGAGCTGGAACAGCTCATCTTTATCAATACGGACGTCGGCCGCTGCCGAGCCTGGCTGAGGCTGGCTTTGAACGATGGCCTCGTGGAGTGTTACTTGAAGCTGCTGCTGCGGGAGAGGTCCCGGCTGCCCGAATACTACCAAGCAACCGCTCTGCTCTTAGATGCTGAAGAGTGCGAGTTTCTCCTTAGCTACTTGCAGGGCTTAACGTCCTTAACCTTCGAGCTCTCCTATAAATCAGCTGTTTTGAATGAGTGGACCGTCACCCCTCTGTCCCTGTCTGGTCTGTGTCCTGTTTCGGAGCTGCTGGAGCCCCTCACGTCCTCGACATCCGAACCCCACAGAAAAGCATCGCTGGGTTCGATCTCCCAATCATCGGGGTCGGACGAGATCGAGATTCAACCCTCTGTCCTACCCATCGGCAAAGCCAGCAGCAAAATCAAGCTCACGTCGTCCTCGTTGAGCCTTAACACCACGAGCTCGTCCCAGCTCTCCTCCAGCCTGGGCTCCGACAGCATCCTCCCGGCTCACTGCGCCCGCAGTCCCGAGCGGAGCGAGGAGCCGCTCTCCTGCGACTCCGACCTGGGGACGGCCACCGCCGAGGACCTGGACAGGTCGCTGCTAGAGTGAGTCTTTTCCCAGATCCCCTCTTCAAAGGGATTTTTAACCTTCTCCTGGGCTCTCATTTATTTTCTTTCTGTAGGCAGGAAGGCTTTCTCCCCTGTTTTTCTTTAACAAGCTATTTTTTTCCTCCTGGAAAGAGCCTAAAAGGTAAAAAGAAATGCTCGGCACGGCTTGCTGGGACCCTGCTGCCACGGCAAATGAGCTTCTGGCCACTGAAGTGTGTGTCTGTCCTCTTTACCGGGGCAGAAACGTCAGAAAAATGCTGCTCCCTGGTTTCAGGAATGTCACATCTCCCTGGCGTACGCTGGGGGATGCTCCGGGGCTTTCTGTGGGGGGAAAGAAATGAGTTTGGTCACAGGAAAGGGTTGTAATTTGCAGCTTTGGCAGATAATTTAGAGGAGGGAGGTTGTTAGTTTGTCATCCTCGTGATTTATTTTTGCCAAACGCCCAGCACAAAGATTTCCAGCGGGTTATATAAGCTCTGAGTAATCAGTAAATATTTTCCCTGCCACCTTTAAAACCTGGCTCTGAAGGAGCCTGGCCTGGGGGTGCCGGTTGGCGAAGGCACCCTCTTCCCGATAAGGGTCTTGGAGAGGGTTTGGAGCTGCAGTCTGTTCCTCCCCATCGATAACGGCGTCGTTACCTACTTCTAGGATTTTGCATCTTAAGATGATCCTGGAAGAACCTGCCTTGATTGGATTAAACTCGTGATGGAAAGACGTCGTTTTGAATTTTAATCTTGGGCTGGTTTAATTCAGCCTAGCTGGCGGCGAAGCCGGGGCATGGGAACAGTGTCTCGTCTGGCCGGGCTCCACTAATAATTGCTCGTTAACAGTTATGAAAATATTTGAAATTTGGCACACGGTCCGCGGCCGGACACGTGTCCAGGAGCCGTACGTGGGGCTGGGGCTGCGGGGAGCACCCAGCGCTCTCCCTCCTTTAGGAGATGTCCATCAGCAGCAAATTACTACGCCCCGTTAACGGGCGTAGTTAGGAAACACATCCTTTACAGGCAGGGTCCTTGCCTGCGGTGGGGTTGACTGCTGCTCCGTAGGGCACAAATCACACCTTTTTCTGTCAGCGGGGCTGGTGCCACGGGGTTTTTTTGCAGCTGTACAGCGCTGCCAGCCCGCAGGAGACGAGCAGTGATGCTGAGCCCTTTTTTTTGGGTGGTTACAATTTGCAATAACTGGGGGTTTTTATAGGTTCTGGTTAACGTAGCTACGTTCAAACTGCTCGCTTTTCTGTTTCCAGGGTGTTGTCAGAGTTCAGCAAAGCCAAGCCAAGCCTGGAAGCCCCGGAGGGAGGGCTGGTCCCCGGCGTGCTGAGCTGCTCCCCAGGGCAGCGTGCCTGCCCCCCGGCCGCACCGCCCGTCCCCCCGGCCCCGTCCCGCGGAGCTTGCCGGC